TGAACCTAAGACATGGCCATGGTGATATGTACTCAAAGTGTGTGTTAAGACTAGTGAGTGTAGGTGACATGTTAAGACTCGTGTCATGACCATGTGGCTAGACTATGTGACCAAGACTCGATTAATGACTTGACAAGGTGTTATTGACAGCGAAAATTAACCGAATTAATTAGCAAACTGGTTAATTAGACCCTAGGTGATGACTCGACCAATAATCCGAACTGTCGGCCAAGCGACAGGACTGGCGTCGCATTATGGTGGTTGGCGCCAGACAATTTAGTTAATGTCTGGCGCTACACACTGTAATGTGGCGCTACAACTCAGACTTTTGCGCCAACATTGGAGCTTTGGTCTGGGACTGTTTTCGGTATTATTAGTCAACTGGGGTATGCCTAAAGTCGTACTAGGTCAATTCCGATTAAAAAAAACTTTATTGACTCAAATTAATTAATTAATTAAAAAGGCAAAGTTCTTTAAGTCATTAATTTTAGTCTCAACACAAATCAACAAACGGTTAAGAGGAATATAGAATATATATGCACAACAAATAATGCACAATTAGTCAAGTAGGAACAACATGATGCAATGAGTTCGCAACCTAACCATGGCTCTAGTTCTCTAAAGTTCGGGATATGGTTTAGTCAAATAGGGTCCATGGTTAATTGTCCAGATGCACCGCGTAGAAGCCTAACCGTGAAGGGTTAACGCGTGTGGATAGAACACCACGAGTTTTTAGAAAAACTCGCTTCCATGGTTTGGTGAATTCAACCTCTTAGATGTACCCTTTGTTGCCAGGAGCGTTCAACCGGGTAGATAGAGCATGAATTCCCAGAGGGTTATGTCCATATGTAGAACACATATGGGTTTCAGAAAAGTGAGAAAAAATTCAATCAGGAAGTAGGATCGAGCAAACAATACGAAAAACCGGTCGAAATTAGAACGCATATTTCTGGCTCGGTATTGGGGGAAATTGGCGCCAGCAAATAGAGACTGGCGCCAACTTTTAACTGTAGCGCCTGGCGCCAATACTGGCGTCTGGCGCTACGACTAAAAGTTTGGCGCCAAGCTCTGGCCCCTGACGCTACTTCCCACATGCCTCAGCTGCTTTCTGTGCTCAATAAAATCATCCAGTTTCGCGCGATGTTATTTCAGTCCTAGTTGTGAAAGACATTTCTCAAATTTCCTACGTGTAAAATCCTATGTTTTTGACTCATTACGGATGGTCTTTCCAATGAGAACCTTTTTATGCATCTGACACAATGTTAATCAAAATTACGCACATGAAATACTTAGAACTTTTCGAGTCTCATCCACTCATTCTAAATCATTGCCGAAACAAATTCAGAAATTAAAATAGAAATCCTCCCCAGTGGAGTCGCCAAAAACTGTAGGGAATAGTTTCAAGCCTTTAAAAATCCCACTAACTTGAACCCCACTGTGATCATACACTAAAGTACGGTGGCGTCTAAAAGGGAAAAAGATAGAGCAAAAGAGTCGCCAACAAGTTTTTAAGGAACTTGTAAACCGTTCACGAGGTGAAGGTTACACCCCTTAACGATCAAAGAGATCGTCAACTCCATAAGGTCATGAACCAAATAAGGGTTCGGGGATGATGGTACAAATCCAACCTAAAAGAGATTGAACCTGCCCTAATAATAGGTCTCTACTTTATTCTGCTCGTATTCATGTGCGCTTTCTGACTAACATACATTTCAATAGGATTAACCCTAAACCTGTTTAATCTATGTTGGTTGAATATTAATGCACAAACAAATCTATTATTGGCGATCACTTGAAATTATAATCACAATTAACCTAACAAAATTATTAATTACCTTATGAAGCGTGATTGCAAATACCAATTTCCTTTAACCTGCAATAAAAGGTGATCAAGCAATAACAATACACAATATATATGCATATCAAACAACATAATAAATAATCATAATAATTATAAATAATCATAATAATCATAAATATTAGAAAGAACATAGGAAGCATCATACTTTATCGTACTTAAAATTAAAGATACCCTAGACATGACACTAGGAATCATAAATAACAGTCTAAGCATAATATCTACATCATAAATCAATTAAACCATTAAAGTACTTACTTGGATGCCTCGTACCTCTTTCTAATTACAAAATACACACGTTAGTAACTTCAAGGAAAAATAATAATCAAAACAATTAAATTAAATAATTAAAATAGAGATTTGGGACCAAACCCTCAGAAATTAAAACCTTTCACGTCTAGGGCGAAGGCAACTTCGAATATGGCTAGGTGTATCTAAATCTTGCGAATGCGGAATTTTGTATTTGAGAAAAGACTAGTTTAGAAAAAGAGAAAGAGAGAATAATAAAGAAAATCTTGATGAGAGTTGGTGATTGAAAAAGGGTAAATATGACCTCTATTTATAGGAAAAAAGAGGGTCGAAAAATTAAGAAAATAATCAAAATTCGAATCGAAATAAAACTCGTAGACAACAGTTTTTGCGGATTTTTTTTTTATCATATCTTTTGATCCAGAAATCGGAATAAGATGAATAAGATGTCGTTGGAAATATCTTGAATTCTACTTTCTAACCCAATTATAATTAGATTAAAATATATTGTAGAATAAAAGATATGAACGAAATAGTGAGACATTGTCAGTTTTAGATAGAGTTTGATATCTTATTCATATCTTTTCCGTTATAGCTCGGAATTAATACTATAATATATCATTGGAAAGATAATTTCAAGATCTATCCAAAAATATAAAATTTGGATAAAAAATATGAGTTACGAAAATAATATCTGACTGTCTTTGAACATGTTTAAATCCGAATAGAATTAGGACTTTAAAAAAGGAAAGTTTTATAAAAAAGGAAAGTTTATATTTAAATCAAATTCCTTAATATTATCTTTTCAGAAAGGGATATTTAAGATATTTTAGAAACTTATAGAAGATTCTAATCAATCCTAATTAGTTTAGGAAAAGGATTAAACCTTTGAACCCTCCTCATGATCATTGGGTCGTAGGTAAAATCCGGTTTGGGCCCAGTTTAGTATTTTGGCCATAACTTCCTCATTATTCATCAGAATTGGGCTTATAATATATCGTTGGAAAGATCTTTGCAAGACTCATCCAACTACACCATTATTGGACCCTTATCATGGTCCAAACTAAACTGGAATGGACGTTTTCATAAAATAAAGTGGGTTTTCGAAAACAGAAAGAAGAGAAAAGAAAATAAAAGCTTTCCGCAACACTAGACTTTTCCACACTTTCGTTTCATTCAATTATGATTCGACATGAAAGGTATTCATCACTGGGTTTGGTTTTGGGGAGACACAAATGGGTGTCTACAATTATCAAAATAAAATAATCTAGTTCAAGACAATCTAATACAAGACAATCTAATTTGCAAATATGATTTATCACATAATAATAAGCTAATTTATGACAGAAAGAATATAATTCCTGAAAAAGTAATTGTGAATCCTGACAAAAATAACCTATTATCAAATTAGAACAATATAATTACAACAACAATAAGCATATTCTACTCAAGAATATTATACTTAAAAACCAAAAATGATATGTTTCCTAACAAAAATATTCTATAATAAATCAACAAATACTATATCCAAACAACACTTTTTGCGAATTAAATGGAATATAAGTTTACACCTAACAGCTCGACTTCGTCTAGAACCAAGTTTAGGACGACGCATCTGCGGTGGAGGTTTTGAATGATCCCTACAGAATGAAATAATAACTTATAAAAAAGAATTTTTTTTAAGAAAAAAGTATAACCTAAAAATAATTGAAATATAATAAACCTTTCAGCCATTGCAAATGTCTTCTCTTGTTTTCGTGCTTGTTTACTTCGTTTAAGATAAACTTTTAAGGGCGATGAATCCTTAATCGACGGAACGTTAGCCATTAATGGAGTCGAGAATGACGAAAGTTAGGGTTTATATAAAAGAACTAAATATTAAATACATGCAAATAAAATTAAAACTGAAAAATGAAGTAGTGATGCGAATTATTCGAGAAAATGGAGTTAAATCGACAGTAATAGAGTGAAATTGGAGTGAAAATGCAGAAAATGTGGGTAAGTAGAAGAAGGAGAAAGGCGGAACGTTGGATTTGATTTTGATTTTTTTAGAAAAAATTTATGGATATTTAAAGTTCGGGCCAAGTAGACAGGCCAAGCGCGGGCCGATTAATAGAACGGACTCACATGAGTCCGTTCTACACAATAATTTTCGATTTTAGTATCCATCAAGTATAGCCTTATTCTAATGTCTAATTATCATCTTTACAATTGGAGAACGAAACCATAACCCTAAACACTAGTTGATGCCTTGACCTTCCCATGAAAAATCAGTGAGAAATTTATCCTTTGTTAATAGTTGAAATTAGGGATCTAATTAGTGGTTGTATGGAACTCTATATGTGTATTATGCCAATAATTTGTATTAAATATAGAGTACATGCATTATATGTATAGCTAACTACTGTTAGGCCCCGTTCAGTTCAACTTATATTTGCTAAAATGGAATTCTTTTTACTGAACTGAAATTATATTTACTGAATTTTATTTTTTTAATGTGAAGTGAAAAGAGCCTTACAATTCATATTAATCAATTCACAAAAGAAATTTAAATTAAATATTAGATAACAATTACTCCCTCCATCCCTAGAAGTAGAAATGTAATTTAGGGACGGAAAGAGTATACAATACTTTCATTAAGGGCCTATTCACATTTACTGAACTGAGCTGAACTGAAATGGACTGAACTGATTGGAGCTGAACTGAACTGAATTGAACTCATTCGAGCTAAACTGAACTGAACTGAATATTTTATGAGAGATGGAAATTAGGAGCTGAATTGAACTGAACTGAACTGATTGGAGTTGAACTTAACTAAATATGAACAGGCCCTAATACTAGCATATTAAGTTCATACATATAAATCAAGATAAAATCATCTAAAAGGGTAGAGAACGGACATGCATATATGTAAATTTTAATAGCCAAAATTAATTGTCTATTAATTCATACATTACTCTAGGAAATTGCATTCATCAAGAAAGAGAAAAAACTAATCTTAAACCCAAAAATAACCAAATCATTTCCCAATACAACACTTTATGTTTGATAACAAAGCTTAATTCTCTTTCTTTTGTACTCTAATAATTCTAACAATTATTGGTAGGAAAGTTAACTGTTGGTTTTGGATTTTTGGAGCTCTTCTTCAATACGATCTATCCTGAAAATTAGTTAAATGAGAATTTAAGGATTAAAATTATTTATAAATCCATGGTACACCAGCTAATATTTAAAGCTCAATGCACATACCTCAATTGAAGCATTGTAATTTCTTGATGTAGTTCCTTCTCTTTGTTTTGACTAATTTCAAGCTATTAAAACATAAACACTTATCATGAGTATACTATGTTTTTCTTTATTATAAAATTATTAAAAAAATCCTACAAGAAATAATATCAAATAAATATGAAAGGAAATTTTAGAACAACATTAAGAATTATCATAATTGGTTGCATTGTATACGTAATTAAAATAATCTCTTATATCTAAGTATTAAGGAAGTAAATAATATTATTACCATAGGGTTGCGAGAGGCGAAAATTGGGTGGTAATAATAAAATGAAGTTTGTTACCCTTGAAGGATTTATGCATTCGTCAAGTGCAATTGCTAGATATATAATGGATCAAATCATGGAGATAATTAAGTTTGTTTTTTTGGTCGTCGTTATATTACAGCTAGAAGTATTAATGATGTATAATGGATCAAATTATGGAGATTATTAATTTTGTTTTTTTTGGCTTGTCGTTATATCACAGCTAGAAGTATTAACGATATTTGGGCTAGTAAAATATTCTAAAGCCAAATTGAACGGTTCCTATAAGGTCACACAAAGGACCTAGATTGAGCATTAGAAGAAAAGACCGTGATGGGCCTTCTCCGATCCACTAGGTGGCCGACCATATGGAGTAGATTATGGGGTTTGGGCTCTCTAACCTAGTCTAGTTATAATAAGATTATAAATAGATTATAACTAGACTAGGTGCCTAGGGTTTTTAAATGAACAATTTTTTTGTTAGTTGAACCCGAGTTAGTAAACACAAAACCAAACCTCTCAAATTATCCCCTCTCTTACAACTTTCTCCCTTCCTTGTGTTGATTGTGTGTCATTGATAGTAATGGTGTTCGTGGTGTTGCCGGTTGTCCATAAAGATGGTGATCGTGGTGTTTCCCCTTCACTTAACCAATTTAATATTGGTGAACGGCTCATTCCAATCTCGTGGACTAAGTAGAGGAACAACGCTTGGAGCTCTATTCTCTCCCTAATTGTCAATCAACTTGCTACGTGAAGATCGTGCTTCAAATATATTATTATGTGATTCTTGTGTGTTATGCATGTGATCTTGTTTTAGGTTGGTGTCAATATGATTCATGACATTCCACTTAGAATACCTAAATCCCTTCAACCCTATGACTTATTCTCATACCAAACAACTGGTAATGAAAATGATTAATCAGTTCTATTTTCACCATTTAAAAACATTAGCTATACCAAACATGATCTTATACTGAATACTCGATATGATTTATTGTTGCTTTTAACCTTATCTAAAGCTTTTTGTATGAGTTTAACTTTTTACGTATACATCATTAAAATAATTGCATTTTTTAAAAAACTTTATTATTCTTACCAAAGATTTTTCAATGGCTACAATACTAGCGTGAGTACATCCTCCATTGCCGTTGCAATTTTCTGAAAAATAAGCAAAGCAGTTTGAGCATTACATTCTTACTATGATTTATATATATTTTTTTTATTCAGAAGAGAAAGAAATATAATTACCATTAACTAAAGTGGATGAAATTTGTTTCACCATACCAAAAAGGTTTTCCTATATATTTTGAGCAAAATGAGAACATTTATAATTAGCTATTACACCATTAAAATGTGGCATAATATGCTTTGTGCATAAACCATACCCTTTGAGTGGCGTTGGCTTGTAGAATAGATTGTAGTAGTGAAAACAAACAATTCGAATGATTTGCTAATCTTTCTCTTCTAGGAGAAGGTAAAGCCATTGTAGGAGTTGGAATAATAACCTACACACATATATATCTCTTTTTTATAATTATAAGACACTTCACTATAATTAAAACAAATGATGATACTTTTGTTCTATTAGAATTCTTCTCTGTTACAATTAACATACATAAAAAAAAAATTGATGACATAGATAGAATTATAGATACAATAGTTAATAGCGTAAATAAATGAAAAACAAAAATAATACTATATATCAGAGAATGGGTGGTTTTCCGCCACCTTCCCCCACCCCGAAAATGGCCGACAGGTCCTCTCAACCCCCAAAACCACCCAGCCACCTTCTCCACTAACCACCACAATATCCTAACCCCACACCGCGAAACCCACCTAAACTTACCGGAAAATAGCCACACGTCCCCACTAACCACTGAAATCAGCTAATTTAACCTTTACGACCATAGGTGACCTATCCTCGACCCCCAAAACCATCTTCCCAGCCACCCCGATTCCCAAAACCACCAACAAGTCCAACGAAAGTCCATCAGGGTGGTTGGGTAGGTGGTTCCGGGGGTCAGGATTGGGCCAGCTAGGGTTGTTGAGATTAGGTCGGCGATGTCCGGTGGGTAAGGGTGGTGGCCGTTGATTTTCCGCCAGCGATGTTAGGCAGTCAACTAGGGTTTTGCGGTGAAGAAGGTGGTTGGGAATTTTTGAGGTTTTTTTTTTTTTGGTTTTTAATTTTTAATTTTTTTAAAATTTTAGACTAATCACGTGTTGACACGTGTCATGGTACCTGTTATAATAGGTTGTTGACTTTTTGTTGACCGGTTGGGACTGTTGGAGGAAAACTAAGGGCATAGTTAGGATTGTTAAAAAATAAACCTTAGTTGGGATTGTTAGAAGTAAATCGGCAATAGTTGAGATTAATAAAGTGTATTTTTCCTTCATCTTATAATATAGTTTGTATTTTTTTAATGGTTAAACTTTGAAAAATCTGACCAATAATTTTCATTGACATGTACAAAATATTATGGATATGTGATATATTGTTAGATTTGTCTCAATATATACTTTTTTGGTAATAGTTTTTTTTTTTAATAATTTTTGTTAATATTCAATTAAAGATGTCAATGGTGAAAGGTATATCTTAAAGATGGTGCAAATAGCAATGAGAATATTATGGGATGAAGAAAATATGTATTTTTTTAGACCCAGTAAAATATAGTTTAGCTTTAAAAATTGTTACATTATTGTGTGCTTGTGATTAGTTAAAGGCTTGTTTGGTATCGTTTTTGTTTTTTTTTTTTTAACAAAAAAAAATTAAAAACAAGAAACAAGAAAATTTTGTTTCTACATTTTTGTCATGATTTTAATAAGTTTTACCAATTTTTGATTCAATATATTACGTATATTTTGAAAAATAGAAAGCCATAATGACGCCAAATAGACCCTAAACTTTTGAAGGCATTTAAAGTTTAGATATGAGCAATGTATGTTTAATACACCAAATTATTACCTTTATTTTTTTACCATTAAAATTTGAAAGACATATAATTTTAGGTGATTTAAGTTACTTTAATATAATAAGATGTATGTGCTATAATTTTGTGGAGTCAACAGTTTATTTAAAAATTGATATGTCATAGACTATGAGAAGCATTATGTACAATTATATAATGTTAAATTATACTGGATTTTTGTCATGAAATAAAGTATTACACATAGCAAAAAGCAGTTGATCAAAACAAGTGTATCAAGAAACTAATCGTGCAGCAGATTATGTTGCAGATACAAGCCATCAAATTACTGACTATGTAAACATTGATCTATATGTAGATGCTAATTTTTCTTATTTTATTTCTTTAGATAAGTTTGTATTTTTATTTTCTTCAAAAAAGAAAAAAAATAGGATTATAAGTACACACACATATATATTGGTGGTAAGAAGAAGGGGGCTCATTTGAGGGGGAGAGATAAGGAAAATTCCTCAAAATGAGTCTCTTGAGACTTGATCCCTAGACCTCAGGGATACGAGATGAGAGCGATGTCATTACTCCATTACCTCAACCTCGCACCCCACATATATTTGCACAACCTTCAAAGGTGTTTTATATCAACACGTATAGTAAAATATGTATAATGTAATGTGAAATAATGAAAAGTGACAAATAAAATATATTACCTCCCGTCCAAATTACTCGCAACTTTAGAATATTTTATATCTCACAAATAATACCCCAAATATACGAGTAATTTAGACCGGAGGCAGTATATTAAATATTACAGGGTACCTTTTCATGGTCACCTTTAGTTACTTGAAAACGCCCTTTTATTTGAATAACCCTTTCTTCCATTTCATCGACATTACTTGTCACTAAATACTTGCATAAAATGATTAAACATTTATTGATAATTTAATAAAATTTATTGGTAACATAAAGTATAGATACATGCCTGGTGAAGGTATGAAAGTTCTTGGAGTTGATTCATCCCCTTGTGAACACGTTGAACTTTCATTGGTGAGTACACGTTCATGATGTTTAGGTGATTTGAAACTGCAATAAAATAATATAATTAAACAATCTTTTATAAACATTATAAGAAAAATAAACAAACATGAGATTTTTTATGTTTTGTTTTATTATTTTTTCATTAGCACATTTTAGGCTCAACAATTATTGACATGATTTATTTCATATGTTTCACAACATAATTTCACCGTAAAATTCTCCTTAGCAAGTGTATCTAAATGAAACAAATAACTTCACCTCAACATAAAAGAGAAACGGATAAATGTTTGCAAAAAAAAAACGAAATGAAGACACAAATCAATTACATTACACTTTATTATTGTATCAAAAATCATTTTGATTATTTTTAAAATGAGTCATTTAGACTTTCCCTTTAACCCCTTTATATAGATCTAATAATGAGGAAAATTCAAGAATAATTCAAATATTAACAAAGTATAAGAAGAGTATGGAATATTAAGTACTCCCTCCGTTCTACAATGATATGTTTGGAATCTTTATTTTTTTAAAAAAATAAGAGAGAATCTTTTAAATTTCTATCAATTTATAATAACAAATATAGTCATGTGAGATCTTGTTTGTTTCGTCTTGGTGAGCACATTAGTAATATCCTACTTCTATAATTTTTTGCTAGTGTGTGATTAAAGATATTTGCTGTCAAACATGGGTAAAAACTTACATTGATTTACGGAAACAGAATATCATTTTAAAACGGAGGGAGTAATTTCTTTTTGATGAGCTAGGTAGAAGAGCTACAATGCTTGAAAATGCTATTCGCCAAGAATCACTTAGTTAAGAAAAGGGAGGGTTATGATCAAACTTATAATCTCAATATCATAAGGTGAGCTCTCTACCATTTCCACTAAAGCTTATTAGTTGTATGCATGCACAATTTACTCACATATTACAAGGTTTTTAACTTACCTAAATATACGAATGAAGCATTATTCGAAATATATATTCAAAAGTTCAAATATACAAAGACCTTTTAATCTAAGAGATATTAGTTAAGAATATAACCTTTCAACTCTCATAGTTGTTTTGGTTGGTATATCTAATGTATAAGTACATGCTGATGAGCTTGCCCTTCTACTATGCAAAGGTAATGAACATTTTTCTACCATTTTTCGCATGCCTTCATTACTTGATACTTCACCTAAATTGTTTGATGATTCGCCCATATTTCTTTCGATGTTCTCTGTTGGACGAGGAGAATTACATTGTGATGCAACTTTAGCATTTTCTAGACTAGCAATGCCTAAATCATCGTCAGAATTCTGACAATTTGTTCTGAAAGTACAACCCACAGAAAAGAATCATTAAAGACGTTGAAGTAGCAAGTTGTTATTAAGATTTTATACTCCCGGCCTCCCTTTGACCATTTTCATAAAAAAGTCTCATTCACCTTTCGCATATGTAGTTAGGATGTCGAAATAAAAAATTAAAGATGATAAAGTTTGAATTATTAAAGATAAATTATTTGTAAATTAGGGTAGTGAAGTTTGATTGATACAAAATTATTATAAATATAAATAGGTAAAACTTATATATAAAAAAAGGTTATTAGGAGAAGGATTTTTTTGTCAAAAACTATGTAATAAAACTCAGATTTTATAAGATGCTACGTATTAAAAAAAAATGTTGTAATGAAGTAGCTTTTTTTATTAGGTAGTTTCTTACATTTTTTTTATTAGGTAGTTTCTCACAAAATTTAAATTTTATTAGGTAGTTTCTCAAAAAAAAAACCTTTAAGTGAAATGAGACCTTTTTTTTTTTCATACAGCTATAAATATGTTGCTTTATATAAATTAAAAGATATACTTGGAAGTTTGATTATTAGATGATTCGCTATCCTCCTGCATCAAACAATGCATTTTTAGTATTTAAATGAAAAATAATACATATGACGTTATACATACACACAAACACACATATATTATAAAGTACTTACGTAAATATTATCCAAACTTTGTGGATGATTATTTGTAGAGCTACCAACTACAGCTCCATTGTCATTATCAAATAAATTGTCATCATCTTGGATCTACATAATATATCACACATTATGAAAAATTTATTTTTAGATTCAATATATTTTATAATATGCATTATAGTATTCTACTAGCTTTGTAAATAATACTACTAGTTATTCTTTCTTTTCATTTAGTTATGGATTTTGGTTCTTTCTTTGAGATACAAAAACCATTAGTTGCTTTTGGTTATTTTTTTAATAGGGACACCATGAGTGATCTCGCTTATTTTCTCATCTAAAATATAAATTCTGCAAACAGGTAACAACATATGAGGTCTTGGCTTCGTGGTTAAAAGAGAATTTGTGTACAATGTGTCACAAGGTTTATAATATTTTATACTCATTGTGGTTCATTTAAACTAAACTAAAAATAAATAAATAAATACTGCTTCCTTTGTTTCTTTCAATTTTCCTCATGTTTTAATGACTACCATCCACAATATTTTTTTTTATTTTCTTTATTTTACCACCAATAATTGTTCAAAACCTTGGGTTTAAATACTAGTTTTGGTAAACGGGCCTAGGCCGCACCCGTTACGAGTGTCCACTTTACACGACCAAGGAGGCTTCTCCTCAAAACCATATAACAATGAGGGAAATAGCCCCTTAGCCTTATAAAGTGGACACAAAATTTCTTATTTTTTCAATGTGGGATACACTTCCCAACACTTTCTAGGCTCTTCAATATGGGATAATACTTTAACTCACATGTGAATTTGCTCATGGGCTCAAGTGCTCAACAAAATGCCCTTTTAATACGTCTATCCCTTTTTTACCTTTTTTTTCCTGCTTTTTCTCTTGATTTATTCTTCTTTAATTCCTTCTAGTGATGCTAATCCACCAAAAATTTTCCAGCAATTGAGATTCTTATTTTTTCCCTCAATCTCTATCAATTCAATGTGTAATTTCATTATAGGTCTAGCCACCTTAATCAACTCCTCGTTTCTATTTTATTTGAAATTCCAACCTGTTAGATAAAGTATAAAAGAAAACATAGGGGACTAAAGATGAGAGTTAAGTACAAATTCAGGTACTCAATTCTACTTTTTTTCACCGTTTAGCTACTAAATTTTTTTTGCTTTGCTTTTGGGTACTGAGTTAAGAATTCCGGCCAAAAAAAATAATTCAGCCTAAGAATTCAGTACCTTGGTTAAATGAAAGTGGGCTCCACCCGATTAAAAAAATGCGCGGGTCAACCCTTTTCTTTTTCCCCTTTCTTAATCTTTATTCCCCCTTTTTGCCCCTTAACTCTTTCCATTTCTCGAAATATTCGTTGCGCATAACTCGAAGAACACGAGCAGCTACATTCGAATCTTGGGAAAACGACAGCGAAAGCCGCCATTTTTTTGAGGTATGATTACTTATTCATGGTTTTTGTTGTTAATTTGATATAAATTTTGAAAATTTTACCCAATTGAAGGGTTTTGCGTTTTTTGGGTTTTTTTTAATCGAAATCAATGTCGATTTCTTGTGTTTTTTGTGTTAAATTTGTTGACGTATTGTTTGTTGTTGTATTAAGCTTGTGGTGTTGGTGGATATTGATTGCATGTTGATTATTTATGCTCTAAGGTTTGATTTGTTGATCTGTTTTGCGCACTAAAACAGGGGCGGTTTTGGTGAAATTGTGTATGTGTGATTGATGATGTTTTGTGTGTTTTTCTTGTGCAGCAGCAGCAAAGGAAGAACCTAGCAGCAACTACTGTTTTGTTTTTATTTTATTTTATTATTTTTTTTTAATCTGGGAAAACCTTGTTGAAGAATTTGTGCCTAAATAGACATGGTGAATGAACCTGTTTTGATGATATTTGTTGCTGGTTTACTGCTACAACTTCTGTGTTGCTGTTTTTGTTTTTGTTTTTTTAATTGAAATTGAATCAGGGAAAATCGTTTTGGATGAATTTTGGTTAAGAAAACATGGTGAATCTGCCCTACAGTGATGCTAGTGTTTTGCAGGTGTTTTCATGGCATTTTTTGGACAAGTTCATGCCCCTTTAAATATAGTAATAACGGCTAGTTTCTGAGTCAAAGTCATGAATTTTTTATTTTTATTTTTAAAATATTAATTTTTTAATTAAGTATGGTTAATGATGAGTTAGTGGTGAGTTAGTTCACTTGAAAATCACTTTCAATACCCAAAAACAAAGCCAAAAAAATTGAGTACCTAAAAGGTGAAAATTAGAAGAATTGAGTACCTAATTGTACTCTTAACTCCTAAAGATGAACAACAAAAACAATATTGGAGGGATATCAAGCTTTAGAAACTTATCGTTTTCAAACCCACGCATATCGGACAAAAATCTAGGTAAATTAGGGTTTTTATTATTGATTATGGTAAATTAATCATATCATCAATGACAGCTATAATTTTGTTAATCATAACGTGTAATTCACAAAATTTAATTGAGTTAATTTCCTTGAATGTCTCACTATAATCAAATCCCCAATTTGATTTCAAAACCCTAATTTCCTATTGAAACCCTAATTATAGTTCATTTTCACTTTTCGATTTTAGATTTTTTGCTCAAATTTGAGATAGATTAATGAATAGAGGAGAGAAAATCATTAGAAGGAAAAGAAGAGGGAAAAGTATGGAGTGGCCGGGGCCATAAGTGACTTTATGCAAGAGGCTTTGAGCAAAGAGATGGTCAATTTTAATCTTTTAGAAAATTGTTGGCGGTAAATTTTTTTTTTTTTTTTAAAAAATTATTGTTGAAAGCATGAATTATAGTAGGTGGTAATTATCAATTTTTTCTCAAAATTAATTTAGAGGTTATATTATGTTTTGAATGTTTACAAGATCCCAAATTTAAACATTAAAATATATGCAGGGAGTATGTACAGGGTTATTACATAAGAATACATATATGCGCATGACCATTTTTTTTATTAGAAAGATGCATGAGAAAACTCAAAAAATGAAGCTACATTCTTGCATTGAGTATAAAAAGGTACCAGGGCTGCTTGAGCTTTCATATCTTCTAAATTAAAATTCCAAGTGCTAATGCCTCTTTTGTATTCACTCTGCAAATGAAAGAGCCACATATAACCCCAATATTGTAAGGTAACTATATCAATATTTGTGTTAGGTGAGTATTATTTAGATTGAAATAAGTTAACTATAAATGATCGATAAGTTTTATTTTTCTCATAGGTAAGGCGAAGGCATCTTACAAAACTATATTTTGGCACGAATCAGCAGTAGAGTTTGGATTTATGGGTAAATCTCTCTCGTAGCTAGGAGCTGAGGGGGGTATAAGAATCCTGATCTTGAAGTGAGTGGGGATTGATCTTATAACCTCAAGTTGTGAAATGCAATCCTTAGTTCCTTACCATAAGACCAAGTACTCTTGGTATAAATTGATAGAAATTCCATCTTGAATGGAGTACTTTACATAAAACTATTATGATAACTTAGGCCCCGTTCTCTTCAACTTATTTTGCTGAATTAAAATCATGTTTACTGAAACAAAATTATATTTGCTGATCTTAAATTATTTTTATTGAAATTAAATTAATTTTACTGAAATAATATTATTTTAGCTGAACTGAAATTATTTTTACTGATTTTCTGTTATAATTCTTCTTTAAGAAAACTGAATTTTTCTGAACTAAACTAATTTTTACTGAACTGAAATTATTTTTACTGAACTGAAATTAATTTTACCGAACAAAACTTACTTTTACTAAACTGAAATTATTTTTACTTAATATTATTTTTTTAAGTTGAAGAGAACAGGGCCTTACTTATCAATTCCTACCTTTTAAAATTTGAGATTACTCTTATGAATAGTGCTTAGAAAATTATACCCTTTAACATGTTTATTCACTTAATTACCCTTATTATTGTTAGTTTCCTATTTTTTTAAACACTTAAGAATAGTTTGCGGACATAGTGTTTAGAAAAATTATACACTTTAACATTTATTATCGATAAAAATATTTGTTTACATATAATATTGCCAACAACAGTATTAGTGGCATAAGATCAAACAAAAAGAGATCAATGGACATTGCTAGATATAGCGTGCGCATCACATGCGTTAGCTGGTATCACTAAATAGTTAAATTAGTTTTAACTTGAGCTTACACCAAAATTCATTAATATTTTGTTATATTTTACTTTCAAGTTAAAAATGTTCTTCAATTAATCAAAATTCAAACCATATACTTCGTATATTTTCTCTTATGACCATAACATCAGTAATATAAATCACATATATATAAATATATATTATACCTGAGAGAGTTCCTCTTTCTCACCATAAGCCATTTTCTTTTCGGCAAGCATATCTTCTTCTTTCCTCTATGAATAGAATATAAATAAGATCAATCAATAATAAATAATTTATTATCTCTCCGCCAATTGGTTTTGTAGTTAATCCCTATTTTTGGGTGAGAAAATCATCATTAATTAAGAACAACAATTAGTATAAAAAGTATATATAGTAATAAACATTAAAATTAAAGGTAAATAGTGAACCTTCAGTGCTTTTATTCGATCTCCAAGAGATGGCAAGCCATCCAAAAGCGTTCGTGTGATGTACTCATTTGATCTAGCTTGTTTAAAGAATGCATGCTTTATCAACTTCTTAACCGTAGGTCTCTTTGCGGGATCTTTAACCAAACAACTAGCAATCATTTGCTTAAATGACTGAATAAAAAATGTAATCATGTTTAATAAAGCACAAAAGATTACTTTTATTAAAGATTACTTATAAATTATTAAAGATTAAGGGAAATGTTGTCAGAAACTTCTTAAAGATGGACAATTTTGTGTACAAATACCCATTTTATTTTTTAATTTGTGAACAACTACCCCTAAGATACCTAAAGTTTGTCTAGCACTACACACAAATGGATTTCTTCCAATTAAGACGATTGTAGAGCCCACACCTACGTTTTTGTTGGAAATAGTAATGCAATCGGATGACTCGCGCCCGATCAGGCGGCTCTCGCCCGATCGGGCGAAGGTGGTCAAGGAAAAAACGGGAACTCTCGCGCCCGATTGGGTGGCTTCGCCCGACCGGGCGACGGACAAGAGTTTTTCTACGAGATCTCTCGCGCCCGATCGGGCGGGCTTCGCCCGATGGCTTGCCCGGAATGGGGATTTCAGATCGCTCGATCAAGCAGGCTTCGCCCGACCGGGCGTGAAGCTACGTCTGGAAAATCTGATCTCGCGCCCGATCGGGCCCGCCTTTTTTCCTAGGTCGGTTTGATTACGTGTTTCCTATTTCCAGGACTCATATAAATACGAGTCATACCTTTTTCATGATATTCATTCACTTTCTAGCCAAAAACACAAACCTACCTTTTGAGATATGAACAGTTCTTGAGCAATTCCACTCTTCGAGTTCGGGTGCACGGATTGCGGAGAGAGTTGCGTTAAACTTGGGGGGCGTGCATCACTAGGAAACTTGTACCGGTGGTGGCATATTTTGCTTCTAAGGCAGTGGATTATTGTTCTACGGCGCGACTGTGAGTTTGGGATCTTCAATCCAGGAAAGTTCTAATCTTTTGTTTGTTATTGATTTCAACAGTTATTTTTCCGACAATTTAGAAGCAAAATATTATGATTTATTCTGTTGATATAATGACTAGCAATTCTCAAACTCGTCTATACCTAGATTTGTCTAAGGTTGAGTCTCTTGATGGAATTAATTATAAGAGATGGTCACAAAGGATGTTAATTTCTTTTGAACAAGTAGAAATTGATTATGTTTTGTTTAGGGATGCTCCAAAACCTATTGAGCAAACCAATACCATGATTGAAATTCCTAGTACTCCTGTTCCTGGGAATAAAGAATCAAGCTGTAGTTAGATGACCACTACTGTTGTTGCTAATGAATCTGAAATCAAGAAATTTGATCGTGATAATAAATTTGTTAGAGGTCATCTTTTGAACAGCATGAAAAACAACATATTTGATTTGTATGTTAATATGAAATCTGCTAAGGAGATGTGGGAGTTCTTAGAGAAGAAATATGGTGCTGATGATGCTGGGAAAAAGAAGTATGTGACTGGAAATTGGTTGAATTTTAAATTGGTTGATACTAAGCCTATCATGGACCAAGTTCATGTGTATGAAAATTATGTTGCTAAAATTCTTGCTCAGGGTATGAAGATGTGTGAAATCCTTCAGGCTAATGTTTTGATTGAAAAATTGCCTGATTCCTGGTCTGATTATAGAAATCACCTCAAGCATAAAAAGAGGGATCTAACCCTAGAAGAACTTGTGAGCCACATGAAGATTGAGGAAGCCAATAGGCTTAAGGATGTTTCCTCTAAGCCTAAAAATGTGTTAGCAATCAAGGCTAACCTTGTTGAATCTGGTGCTGACTTTGACAAGAAAGCAAGTGATAATCGTGCCAATAAGGGGAACTCTGAGAAGAAGGGAAATCTCCAAGCTAAGGGCAAGATTGGGAAGAAAGTCACTGGCAAGTGTTGGTCATGTGGTGGAGTGGGTCACTTTGCTTCACATTGCAAAAACAAGAAGAAGAAAAATCTGAAATCGAGTGGAGGAAACAAGGATCATGCTCATCTGGTTGAGAATGAGGATAAAGATGTCATTGCTGCAGTTGTCTCTGAAGTCAATCTGATTAAGAACAACAGTGAATGGATTGTGGACACTGGTGCATCTAAACACTTCTGTGCTAACAAGGACCTGTTTGTCAGTATGGAAGATGCAAAGGAAGGAGAACAAGTCTAAATGGGAAATTCAAGCAGCTCTAAGGTACTTGGAAAGGGCAAAGTGGTTCTAAAGCTGACTTCAGGGAAGACCTTGGCTCTTCACAATATGCTGTATGTTACTTCTCTTTGTAGAAATTTAATTTCTGGTGCTTTGTTGAACAAAGTAGGAGTTAAGTTAGTTTTTGATGCTAATAAACTTGTGTTAACCCGTAATGGGGAGTATGTTGGAAAGGGTTACCTTAGTGGGGGCCTATTTGTTCTTGAAATTGTTACTGTTCCTTCAATGAATAAGATTTCTACTTCTGCTTATATTATTGAGTCCTTTGAATTATGGCATAGTAGATTGGGTCATGTTGGTGCAACAAAATTGAAAGAAATGAAAAGTTTAAATTTGCTCCCAAATATGTCATTAGATGGATTTGAAAAGTGTGAAGTGTGTGCGGAGTCTAAATTCGTGAAGAGACGCTATAAATCTGTCACGAAGAGAGAGACCACACCACTCGAGCTAATTCATTCAGATTTAGCAGACTTTAAGAACTTGGAAAGTAGAGGCGGGAAACGCTACTATATCACCTTCGTTGATGATTTCTCTAGATATAGCAGGTATATCTTATGAGGACGAAGGATGAAGTTGAGTCCAAGTTTCTGGTATATAAGGCAGAGGTAGAAAATCAGTTGGAGCGAAAAATAAAAAGAGTTCGCTCTGACAGGGGTGGAGAGTATGGCTCCGATTTCCTTAAGGACTTATGTGAAAGTGAGGGAATAATTCATGAAGTTTCGGCCCCGTATACTCCGCAACAAAATGGTGAGGCAGAGAGGAAAAATAGGACCTTGAAGGAAATGATGAATGCAATGCTCCTAAGTTCCGGTTGCCAGATAATTTGTGGGGTGAAGCGGTACTATCAGCTAATTATGTACAGAACAGAGTAACTCACAAGAAGTTAGACAAGACTCCATATGAAATATGGAAGGGTTATGCTCCAAACTTGAATCACATGAAAGTATGGGGGTGTCTAGCTAAGGTGGGCTATCCATCGTTCAAGCACTCAACTATAGGTTCTAGGACCTATGATACAGTATTCAATGGCTACGCTAAGAATAGTGCCGCATACAGGTTTATGAGTCTGGAAGATGAAAATTCTGAAGAACTTTAATTGTTTTTATTTGCCTCCTTTGAGAACTCCTTTTGGTCCTTCTGAAGCTTTAGTGAAAAATATGGGGGACGGTGTGTCTCAAACTGAATATGCTAAGGTGCTTGGTAGTCTGATGTTTTTAATGAATTGCACTCGCCCTGATATTGCCTTTGCAGTTAGTAGACTTAGTCGCTATACTCATTGTCCTAGTGAGCAACATTGGGTTGCTTTGAGGCGTGTGCTCAGATATCTATGTGGAACCATGTCTTGGGGATTGAATTTTGTTGGTCATCCCTTGGTTCTTGAAGGGTATTGTGATGCAAATTGGGTAACGGATAGTGATGAAACAAGCTCTACAAGTGGCTATGTGTTTACCCTTAGTGGCGGTGCAGTTTCATGGAAGTTTGGTAAGCAGACGTGTATAGCTAGATCAACTATGGAAGCTGAGTTCATCGCATTGGATCTGGCTACACAAGAGGCAGATTGGCTGAGAAATTTGCTTGTTGATATTCCTTTGTGGGGGAAGCCGACACCACCTGTTTCTATGCATCGTGATTCACAAGCCGCTATATGTGTTGCTAAAAATAGTGTTTACAACGGCAAGAAAAGGCACATAAGAGTCAGACACGAGTCTGTGAGGCAGCTTATTGTGAATGGGGTTATTTTGTTGGACTATGTTCGAACAGAGAAAAACCTGGCAGACCCTTTTACTAAGGGTTTAAGTCGTAGACTATTGGAGGAGTCATCAACTAGTATGGGTTTAGGACCTTTGTTGTAATGACTTGAAATGGTAGCTATTCTAGCTATGTGATATGATACATTGGTTATAATAAATTCAAGAACCTATTTTGGTTATTTTGTTTCATTGAAATGAATCATGTGAATTTGTTATATGTGTATCACGTGTTTGAATCAATTACTCTATAAGAGTTGTAAGTTGATTCTGTTAGGATGAGTTTATCTCTTAATGTCATTAGTCCAGTTGTTTTCCGAGCAGGGATAGATGGAGGTGCTTATATAGTTAAGACCTTTGTCCCAGTGGCTCTTAGAACAGGATAGATAATGACACCGAAACTTGAAGGGTTGAACTTATGTTCTTAATGTTCTAGTTCCACTGCATGGATTTCTTAGGTTTGCAAGGTGCTCAAACACGTTTAAGCCTGCAGGGAAAGACCTTTGAATTTGTTGGGAACGTGTGTGAATAACACATAGGACGAACACCTACGGGAGTACGAGAGGTGGCCTCTCTCAAGGGAAGACTGGAGTATTGTTTTCCTGAAGTACTCATGAGAGCCCAAGTGTTGGCCAAGATTAGCGGTGTTGCTTAAGCTCTAAAGTCAAGGTATGTGTATTCAAGGTCCCTTCCTCGCTCCTAGGAGTTCAAATCTTAGGATACTCACAAGGGAAGTGTTGAAAACCTTGTGCACTAATGTGTTAGTTCAAACCTTTGGATACTAGCATTTAAGTACTAAGACTTTCATTTACTGTTCAGATTTCATGTTGAAGATCCGCTCGCATTAGTGGGGGATTGTTGGAAATAATAATGCAATCGGATGACTCGCGCCCGATCGGGCGAAGGTGGTCAAGGAAAAAACGGGAACTCTCGCGCCCGATCAGGCGGCTTCGCCCGACCGGGCGACGAACAAGAGTTTTTCTACGAGATCTCTCGCGCCCGATCGGGCGGGCTTCGCCCGACCGGGCGGCGGACTCAAGGTTTTGACGAGCCCGATCGGGCGGCTTCGCCCGATGGCTCGCCCGCAATGGGGATTTCAGATCGCCCGATCGGGCGGGCTTCACCCGACCGGGCGTGAAGCTACGTCTGGAAAATCTGATCTCGCGCCCGATCGGGCGGCAGCTCGCCCGATCGGGCCCGCCTTTTTTCCTAGGTTGGTTTGATTACGTGTTTCCTATTTCCAAGACTCATATAAATACGAGTCATACCTTTTTCATGATATTCATTCACTTTCTAGCCGAAAACACAAACCTACCTTTTGAGACATGAACAGTTCTTGAGCAATTCCACTCTTCGAGTTTGGGTGCACGGATTACGGAGAGAGTTGCGTTAAACTTGGGGGGCGTGCGTCACTAGGAAACTTGTACCGGTGGTGGCGTATTTCGCTTCTAAGGCAGGGGATTATTGTTCTACGGCGCGACTGTGAGTTTGGGATCTTCAATCCAGGAAAGTTCTAATCTTTTGTTTGTTATTGATTTCAACAGTTATTTTTCCGACAGTTTTCCCACCCAATTAACTCCCTTCCCAACTATCTCTATCCTCTTTCATTAACTTTTCCTCCATTTTCCTTCTCTTTTAAGCTTTCACCATTTTTATTTGACCTAAGTGAATCTTAGAGAAGAAAATGCTTTCCCCTTCACCAAAAATTTCTCTTCTTTCTTCTCATGCAAAGTCTCTCTCTTTCCTACTTATTAATTAAAGCAAAATTGAATTCAAACATAAACCCAAAAAAAAATTCAAAACTCCTAGTTCAATAATTCAAACCCTAAACCCTGCTAGATATTAAAATCCCCAACTAAATTTAAGCCATAAACCCTAAATTGAATTCCTAACTATGATAATTGATGTTAATTAAAACCCCTAAATTAATTAAATAAACCACGATTACAACAAATAGCTTAAAATAAACATTACCTGATTCGGTAAGAAATTGAGTTTAATTGTTCGAATTTTTGTATGTTGGATAAATTTGGAGGGTGGGGGGGGGGAGGGGAAGAATAACAATAACACTTTAAATAAGTGGGAAGAGCATTAATTGAGGCATCTTAGGAGTAGTTGTCCACAAAAAAAAAATGGTTAGTTATTAACAAAATTGCTTATCTTCACGTAGGTTGTGGTAAATTTTCCAAGATTAAAAATACACATGTTTCATTAAATAATAATGAAGGAAGATTTAATTAGTTCTATCAATATATAATGAGGATCATAAATACCTTAGAGAACTTCTTATCCCTTTCATAATTAAGAGTAGGAGGTGCATACTGTATGGTCATAAGTAAGACCTGTAAAATAATTGTTAGTCTAAAATAAAAATAATCTATAATCAAGTAATGAATAAAAAATATACATTAATTTCATAATTTTATGATTATATTACCTTCATTGGAGGATATTTTGAGAAGGGAGCATGCCCATGAGCTAGCTCTAAAGCAGTTATGCCGAAGGACCATATATCAGCTCTATAAAATATGATCATTGATTCTAATGATAATTTCATTGTGTAGCAAAGTTGTAGTAAAATTACAATAACTATAGAAAAAAGGTACTTACTTGAAATCATATCCATTGTGTTGTTCCATGACTTCTGGTGCCATCCTGAGACAAATAACATCAATTCTTTTATTCCCTTATAATTTCTTTCCACTTCTATTAACAATGTGAATATGGTCATGAGTGCTAATTGTGCTGACCTCTATTGTCATCTTACATGTGCCATGAAAAATTACATAAATACACCTTATGTTGTTATTTCCACTGCTATTAGCAATTGAAAGATTCTGTAAATTTAAGTCTTTTATGCTCAATGAGGAAGTTTTGCTTGATCAATGAGAGCGTGCACATGAACAATTTTGAGCGGTCTCATTGCATCTTTCAAATGGGCCCACTACTTTTGAGCGCAAGTGCCCAATTTGTGATTGGACGCGCAACCCTATCCCTACAGGTCTTATCCATCTAATTGAGGGTGTGCATATTTTCATCATGGGCGCTCTAAACTGGGTTTTTTTAGATAATATCTTTAGTTTCTTTTAATTTTCCTTGTAGTATATATATACTTCTTTATTTTATTTTTCAATTATCAAAAATTATAATTTTATTTTTAGCTTGATTAGAAAGAGAAATTGTAGAAATAATTAATCCTTTCAATAATTTAATGTAATACAAGTTCATTTTCCTTCGAGTTTGAGTTAAATTATCTTTCTTTCAATTAAATTTGGCTTACTTTTAGTTCATCATTAGTATTAATTGTTTCATCATAAGTATGGTTAGAAATTAATTGTAGCTTTAGATATTTGATTAGTTTAATTTCATGTTTAATTCAATTTTAATGATCATGTTATATATCTAGCTCTCTAATTGCTTTAAAATTCACTATGCTTAACAATTATACATTTAGTTAAGGGGATTAATGAAGCTTAATCACACATTATTGAGTTAATTAAGAGGGGATTAGATATGATTTTATGATTAAATTGATTGGATGAAGGTTACATGTTATTTGTTGTAAGTGGATTGTACACCCTTATATTGAGCATGATTGCATATTGCTTTTAATATGACTTGTGAATAATGATTAAAAGCAATATATTCTATTGCATTTTGGTTTTTATTTCTCTTATTAACTAACCATGGTGAGATCTAGCTTAGGTTTATGAGTTTTAAAATTTGCTCTCGAATATAATTATTTCTTCCCTTTGCATTCTTCATTTGCACGATCACTCAATTAAATCTCTTACTTGCCATGTATTTGCTTTGTATTTAGTAGTATAAAAACAGTTTGATTGAGTGTTTGATGTCTTCAACTATTTTTACCTTTATCATCTTTTAAATATAAATTAATTTTATTTTTGCTTGTTTTCATTTGACAATTCCCATTAGTATTCGTGCGTTCCATATGGGAAACAAGAAAAGTCGCTATTTTCTAGTATTTTAAAGTTCAATATGTAAATCTTGGGACCGTTCATAAAAAAATTCCCCCCTACCGGAGGGTTAGAAATTATACCCACCGGTGGGATGATCTTTTAGCATAAATTACCATTTTTTTTTCCACATAGTTTATTCCGCTGTGCAAGTTAGTGTTGGTGCAGAGTTTGAGTTGATGACTTGATGTATACATTACATCATGCGTAGTTAATAATTTAAAGATTGAGATTAAGTTGATGGTGTGTGTCATGGTGTGGATCCTCCAGGACGAATATTGGGGGCGACATACATGAGGTTTTCAACAAAAATAATGACTATCTTGTGTTGTGAGACAAGATATATTTGGTTCTCCTTGTGCCGTGAGACAAGGTTTGTGACTTGATTCGAGCATTATTTCGCTCCTTTTGATATGAGTGTGGTTTACTCTTAAAAGACTAAGAGATTTGAGTGTGGTTTACTCTAACAGACCAGTTTAAGATTTGAGTGTGGTTTACCCTGAAAACCCAATATTTGATTGAGCTCGGTTTTACTCTAGAAAAACCAAAATTGTTATATTTGCAGGTTCGAAAAGAATTACGTTCTTGTTGATTGATGACTGATGAGTTCGAAAAGATGAACGTTCTCATCGTTGAAAATGAAGAAACAAAAATTGAAGGCGGCATCACAAGAGTGTGCATCTCGACTTCACCAATTTGAAGAATTTCCAATCGCAACGTTCGTGTTACTGCCGTCACGATTGCGGGAGGGTGTTAGAGATAATATCGGAAATTATATGTGTGATATATTTTCCGTATTGATCTTATTAGGAGAATAATATATTTAGGTTTATTATACTTTTAAGATATTATTAAAGTATATCTTTTAGGAAGTTTGTTTCCTATCTTATGTTCTTAGGTTTTGTATAAATACTCTACCTATTGATGAATAATAAACAGCCCATTCTATTCTATTCTATTTCTTCTCCCTAATTTGTCATTTTTCCTATATTTCATGGATAGTTATTAAGACTAATACATCTTTCCATAGGAATAAAATAGAGTATAAGTAGTTCATTATGCACAAAATGCGTGTGTGAATTTTTTTAATGCAAGAAATAAGTTGGTAATTGTTATAGATTATTTGTTAAAATACCCTAGTCATTAAAAAATGATAGATAAAAAAAATCATCAATACTATATACTAAAAGACACACTAATAATGACATGTGTCATTCACTGGTGTGTCCTTAATTATTAATTATTTTTTAATATAAAAAATCTATTAATTATGGAAACAAATCAATTTCAAAAATAATATTATTTGTTGTACATACTCCATTTTTTTTAACGGTTCATATTCCATATTAATGTAGTGTATTTAAAATAAAAAAGATTTGACAAATAATTTTTCTAAAACAGAAAATTGGACAACTATAAACCAAATATTATATTCTTAAAAATATTTTGTGATATGTTTTACAACAAAAAAATATTGCTCGGATTTTTTGCCTACTTTATTTTTAATTGTGTATTAGAAGCTACAATTAAAATTTAACATATCACATACTTTTATTATTCCTTGACTAATTTATGATTATAATATTTATCTATTAATATATAACGATCACCGTACATGGCACGGGGTCTAATCTAGTTTATGTAAATGATTAAAAGACTTAACAAATTTAAAAGTTCAAAATAAAAAATCAAAGAGACATGGATGAATATATGTTCACTTAATTAGCACCATTTTAAATAAAATATGATTTTTTTTCAATTATTTACGGAGAATCATATTTTAAGATGTTTTTTATTTTATTTTATTTTATTTTTATTTTTTTGAAAGGGAATTTGAAGATGTTATTTATTTGCTTCTATATTAATAATTGCAATAAGGAATTATGTCTATAGTTTAAAAAAAAAAACAATCATTTTATAAAATTCTTTTTGTATGAATATTGATTTTTTCCATTATTAAAATAAGGTCAAACAGGTATTATATTATTTTTAAGGAGACACACCTCACTTATTGAATTGGAATATATAATTAAAATAAGGATCATTATGACATAAAAAAAATCACAGGTTGATCAATAAATTAAGCTTTTTTAAGAAGATTGCTTGTAGCTCTATTGTTTCTTCCACCATTTAAAGTTAAGAAAATATCATGAATCCCCAAGTTGTTTACCAATCTCTTTGATCAAATTATGCAATTCCTTGTGGCTTTTGTTTACTTTATTTATTACTCGCTCAAAAACAAAATATTTCTGCTCACTTGTATTTTGTGTGATAAGTGCATGTTTGATCAAATCTATCTTTTAATACGTCCTAAGGCAACTTATGAAAATTTAATATTTTAAAATTACACATTGAAACAATGCTAAAATGATCACATGTAATAATTTTATATTTGTACAAATGTACCAATGAACAATCAATGTTTTTTTTAATTTAATTTAATTTTAATTTTTTATTTAGTTTGAACCAATGAACGGTAGTGGGTAGAACAAAAAACGAATTGAGGTATTAAACCTAACATTACTCTATTTAATTCATGACAGTGAAGGAGTTCGAAATTAAATGAGCTCTACAAGAGGGAACAAAAAAAGGAAAAGTTATATTTTTTGATAATGAATAAAACAAAAATTATAATGAGTCATGCTAAGTCACGATTATAGTTAAAATGAAGAAATTATTCGAAGTGAAGAGGAAGTATAATTAATCTAAGCACAAATTCAAGGTTGATATATAATATCATAATACTTATTATAAGGACATGTTTACATTTACTTAATTGAACTGAACTGAACTAATTGGAGCTAAACTGAACGGAATAGAGCTGAAATGAATATTTTATGAGAGAAGGAAATTAGGAGCTGAACTGAACTAAACTAAACTGAAATTAAGCTGATGTGAATAGGTCCTAAATGCCATAAAACATTAAAACAATATAAAATATAATTGTTTTTCTGTATAAGATAAAATGAGTTTGTTTAGCTTATAATGAAAGGTATGTCTTGCTGTCTATATTAACTTTAAAGGTTATATTCAATATTTAGAATATGTAATCACATTATGATGTTTGATAAGGCTAACATGATAAATAATTCAAGATACAAAATGGTGCATTTAATGGAAAAACTTATACCAACAAGGAGTCCCAACAAATGTATTTCTCGTTCGTTGCCTGTCTCCCGAGTCAAATAAGCATGTTGAAACACCTAAATCTCCCAATTTAACAGCACCACGTGAACCAATGAGAATATTACCCGCCTGTTAAATAAAATGTAGGTTACTTGATATTATTGAACAAAAAAAAAAGGAATGACAAATTAAGTATTTCTACTTTATTTTCATGGACTATGTAAATACCATTCAAATAGAGCTATCAATTCAGATATTTTTGTGCGGTTTCTTAGTTACTATTGTTTTAAAGTCAACTATACTACAACATTTTGCTTCTATTTGCTTTGTGATACAAATTTGTATAACCTGATCTACATGCGATGGACGTGAGCGAATTTGAATAGAAGGCCTAATAAACCTAGAAGCATAAATTTATCAATAAAATAAACGGAAATTTCACCAAATGCCCCTGAGTTATTTTTTTTATTCACCAAATACCCATCAAAACTTTTATATTCACTAAATACTCCTGAGTTTAAGATAAATGTCACCAAATGCCTTTAATGACTAACGGCGGTTAACACCGTTAGTCATTAATGACTAATATGTCACGTGGCAGCCTCTAATTGGTTGTTGTATAGTACGCCGGTGTTCACCAAATTTGTACTATAGAGCGCCGGTGGTCCATTTTTGCCGGCAAGGGCAGCCCCCCCACCCTCCGACACCCCCTCCCCTACCCCAGCTCTCTTCTCCCTGCGTTTCCGCTCCCCTTAAACCCCTCCTCCACCTCGAAAAACCCCCCTCCCTTCACGACCGGCGCCCAAACCCCCTCCCCGACGCTGGCGAACCACTTTCGCCCCACCCCCCGCCATTCCCACACCCTTTCCCCCCCAAACCACCATCCTAAAAACCGAAAACCCCCCAAATCAAAAAACCCCAAATCGAAATCTAGGGTTTCAATTTGGGAGGTTTTCGGTTTTTTTGGGTGGTGGTTTAGGAGGGAAAGGGGGTGGGGATGGCGGGGGGTGGGGCAAAAGTGGTTCGCCGGCGTCAGGGAGGGTTTGGGCGCCGGCTATGAAGGGAGGGGGGGTTTTTCGAGGCGGGGGAGGGGTTTAAGGGGAGGGGAAACGCAGGGAGAAGGGGGCTGGGGTAGGGCAGGGGGTGTCGGAGGGTGGGGGGCTGCAATCGCCGACGAAAATGGACCACCGGCGCAAGGGGAGGGGTGGGTTCTGGGATATTTTGAGATATTATTTTTCCACATGTTACTATTAATTTTATTATTTTTTGTTTTTTATTTTTTATTTTTTAAAAAGGGCATGTTACTATTGATTAGTAAAGTAATAAATACTATATAATATACACACACATACAAATAAAGTTATACGTTTTACTTTAATAAAATACAAGATCTAGATACAAATTATAATTATTCTTGATAGTGTCTAGGCATTTTACTAATACCAATATAAGTGTATGTAAGAAGCACAAATAATTGTTAAATACTAGAAATACATATAATGCTTTAGTGGGATTAAGTAATAAGGTTTAATATGTTATAAGAATACATTCAACAATGCTGTGGCGAAAATTGTTGCACCACAAGTTAACTTATACACCTTATCATAGAGGATTGTCTGTTTTAGTATACTACTACTTCTGTTTTATATTATTTGCAACGATTTGACATAATGTAGAGAAAAAAAAAATGTCTAATCGTTGCAATATATAAAACGAAGGTAGTATATACATTTCAACCAACGTAAAATGTTTAATATCACTTCAGTATGATTTAACAATTATTAAAAGGCTAAACTACTTACTTTAACATCTCGATGTATGTGGCCATGACTATGGAGATATTCCAAACCCTTCAAAACCTCACGTAATATTGTGGCTATGACCACTTCCTCAAACCCGTCTGGATGGGCAGCCTTTAAAATATGAAGACATGAACCACCAGCCATGTATGGCATGACCACCCATAAATTATGGTCATTAACAAATGAACAATGTGATTTTAGAACATTTGCATGATCAACCAAGAACATTGTATGCGATTCCCTAGATATATTTTTCTGCAAAATTCAATAAATACATTTTATATATATGTTGCAAAATACTCTTATACCCTTTCACTAACTTTTTATCTCATAATCTCATGTTATTCTACTAAATTCTATAATATATTTGTTTGTCTAAATCCAATAGGATGATTAATTATGAACGAAAAAAGTACAACATCAATTACAAAAGTACAACATATGAAAGTAACATTGATTATTTGTGATCAGAAGCAATCAAATTTACCAAATCGCTATTGCAACGTTCAAAGTCAAGGATCTTGATGGCAACAATCTCATTGTTAAGTATACATAGAGCACGATAAACCAATGCACTAACACCTTCACCTATCTCCTCTAACAAGGTGTAGTGCTCTGGTCCAATTGGAAACTTTTTCTTCTCTTTATCCATTATTTAGGTATATAATATAAAATCATATAGGTAAATACATAATAATAAATAAAGAAAAAAGAGATAAAAAGGTAACTACATCTTAAATTTATAGTAAAAATAATTTAAAATATATGTCATTCTAACTTCAGATGAAAAAAATAGGAGAAAATAATGGATGTCAATCAATGACTCTCATTCTCTCACAATGCTTCTCCACACACGTAAAAGACAAGCCATTGAAATAGCCACAAAATGAGGAATTTTAGGAGATACCAAATTCAACTTCTATTTTTAAGCAGTGATCTCATTTTATAAGTGTTTTGTATTATAATTATATAGTGTGATTACTTTATCCGTCTCATAATCTAGTACTTAATTTTATTTTTAAGATTTAAATAAAGATCTTTGGCACAAAATTTCTAATTAATTAATGTATACCAAAAACATAAGCATATAAGATCACATTAGATTTATTTTAATGTGTAACATTATCAATTCAACTTTTTATAACTTTGTTATACACAACAATGATACCCATGTATAAACATATAGTAAAACAATAAACTTATATTTATTTAGGTAATCATTATAACCAATTTCATTTTTAAAGATTTTAAAAAGGTTAATCAATGGTGATTGGAGAGAGTAGTAATTTCTTTTTTTTTTCAAATATTTGACAAATATATAATGTTCTAACTCCGCCTTACCAAAGGTGCAAAAAAATTTATCAAACTATTAGAAGTTTTTTTTTAAGTGTTGTACTCTACAGGAATATAATACTCGTGCGTGTTAAAATAAAAAAGAATATAATACTCATGTATGACCGGAGTCATAATTAAAAGGTTACTTTTTTTTTAAATGCCACATGTTGCAATTTAATAAGTAAAAAAAATTTAAAAACAAAATGAACAAAATCTAAAATTAAAACCCTTCCTAGCCCCCTACACCTTCCCCCTCCCCATCGAAAAACCCCCAGCCCCTCCCATTCCCTCCGCCGGATATCCCAACCCTTTCCCCCGCTGCAAAACCTAACCCCAACCCAAAACATCATTCCCGCCCTTCCCCACCCCATTTCTGCTCGGAGCTCTTCTCCCTTACCCTAACTCCTCCTCTCCACGCATCGTAAAATGCCCTTTCCCCTTCCCTAACTCTCAAAACTGCCTCCCTCTGATCCTTCTCCCCACCCTCGAAATCAACAAGGGGAGGTTTTATGGGTAAGGAGGAGGGTCCGACATTTATTATGGTGGGGAAAGGGGCGAGCAAGATGTTTTGGGGTGGGGTGCAGGGTTTGCCGGTGAGGAAGGGGGGTGGGGTGGGGTGGGGTTTGGTTTATACTAAGGTGGGGTTTTTTTTTTAGACCAATCAAGTCTTAACAATTGTCAAGTAATCTATTATATAAGGTTGTTGAGTCATCACTTGTTAGAAGAAAACGCCCCCCTTAAAGTTGGGATTTTTCCAAAATAATTAAAAGTTGGTATTATTCAAATCCAAAATTTGAATTATTAAAACCAAATTTTCCCCCATATAAAGACTATTAAAAAAATTCAAATAAGTGTATAAAAGAGCTTTAATAACTACACCCTCTGTCCTAGTTTACTTGCAACATTTTGACTGGACACACTTGCCGATGCACATGTCTGATCGTTAATATCTTATATTATTTTTTACAAGAAACCAAGCAAATTTATTAAGAAGAAGGAAGGCTTAAATCATCCAATACAAGATCATGTATCTCAATAGGATACTTTTCTAACCATACTCTAAGAGAATAAAAATTGCAACTAAGCTTGGCTAAACTATACGCTACCCGATTTCCATCTCTCTTCACAAAGGCAAAGGTACATGATTGGCAGGAGCTAGCAAGCAGAAGAATGTCTTTGATTATCAAGCCGAAAGTCATCTAATTCACTTGCCTCTTTTGCAAACTATGATACTACTTAAGGTTCTCAGTTTCTAGACACACCTTAAAAAAACCCGACTCCATAGTAATCACTAAAGAGTGCCTCTGTAGGGAATATTTCAAGCATCCCACACTTGAGCCCCACTGTGATCATACACTTAATCATGGTGGCGTCCAAAGGGAAGGAAGCTAGAGTAAAAGAGTCGCCAACAAGTTTTAGGAACTTGTAAACCATTCACAGGGTGAAGGTTACACCCCTAAACGATCCAAGAGATCGTTAACTCCAATAGGTCTAGAATCATGACTGGAAGTTCAGGGATGAAGGTTCAAATCCAACCTAAAAGAGATTGAACCTGCCCTAAAAATAGGCCTATACTTTATTCTTCTCGTATTCATGTGCGCTTTCTGACTAACATGCAATCAATAGGTTAACCCTAAACCTATTTAATCTATGTTGGTTGAACATTGTTGCACAAGCAAAACTATTATTGGCGATCACTTGAATTATAATCAAACTAATCTAAACAAGATTATTAATTATCTTATTAAGCGTGATTACAACAACAACAACAACAACAATAATAATAACAATCATCATCATAACGATCATGTTAATAAAGCATAATAATAATAGCAAGACCCTAGGCATGATACTAACAAGATTAATAACAAACCCTAGCATATCACTAAACAATAAAGATCCATTAGCCCTGTAGACACCCATTTGTGTCTCCCAAAAACCAAACCCGGTGACGAGTACCTTTCACATCAAATCATAATCGAATGAAGTGAAAGTATGGAAAGTTTAGTGTTGCGGATAGTTTTAATTTATTTTCTCTTCTCTTTGTTTTTGAAAACCTATTTTAAGAAAACAGCCAGTCGAGTTTGGTTGGTCCATGATATGGGTCCAATAGTAGTTTAGTTGGATAGGGCTTTAAAAGAGCTTTCCAACGATATATTATAAGCCCAATTCCGATGAATATTGAGGAAGTTATGGCCAAATTACCGAACTGGGCCCGGTTTGAGCCTTATATGTGGTCCAATGATCTAGAGGAGGGCCTAATAAAGATTTATCATTCCTAATTCAATTAGCATTGATAAATTGACTTTTGTTGACTATTAGAGTTTTTATCAGAATAAAAGAACGTTTTTGAGGAAAATACGATTTTATTCACCCGTACGGTCAATTTCTATCTGATTCTAGAAAACGCGTCAAAATCTTAGTCAACGCTAAACGCCAGCATTAGCGCCTGACGCTAAGCTTGGCGCTTGGCGCTAGCGTTAGCGCTTGGCGCTAATGTCAGCGTCTGGCGCTAACCTGGTTTTACGCGTCAGAACTCTGTTTTGATTTTTTATCTTTTTAGTTGATTTTCTCTATAAATAGCCTTCTAAAAACTCCGTTTTCATTCACCAACGCTCATCAAGATTTTCTTGATTACTCTCTCTCTCTTTTCTAAACTAGCTTTCTCTCAAATACAAAATTCTGTATTCATTAGACTTAGATACACCTAGCCATATTCGAAGTTGCCTTCGCCCTAGACGTGAAAGGTTTAATTTCTGAGGGTTTAGTCCCAAATCTCTCTTTCAATTATTATTATTTAATTGTTTGATTTTATATTTTCCTTGAAGTTACTAACGTGTGTATTTTTTTATCAGAAAGAGGTACGAGGCATCCAAGTAAGTACTTTAGTGGTTTTTATTGATATTATGATGTAGAAATCATGCTTAGATTGTTATTTTGATTCCTAGTGTCATGTCTAGGGTAAGTTTAATATTAAGTATGATTAAAAGTATGATGCTTCCTATGTTCTTCCTAATATTTATGGTTTCTAGTATCATGTTAGGGTTAAAGCTCTGATTTTTATTGCTTAGTGACATGCTAGGGTTTGTTATTAATCTTGTTAGTATCATGCCTAGGATCTTGCTATGATTATGCTTTAACGTGATAATGATTATTTTTATAATTGTTATAATTATAATTATTATTATTATTATTATGTTGCTTGATGATTTTTATTTTTATTACTTGATCACACCTTTTATGCATGTTTAAAGGAAATTGGTACTTGTAATCAAGCTTATATAAGATAATTAATAATCTTGTTTAGGGTTAATGTGATAATAATTCAAGTGATCACCAATAGTAGTTTTATTTGTGCATTAATGTTCAACCAACATAGATAAACAGGTTTAGGGTTAATCCTATTGATTGCATGTTAGTCAGAAAGTGCACATGAATACGATCAGAATAAAGTAGAGGCCTATTATTAGGGCAGGTTCAATCTCTTTTAGGTTGGATTTGTACCTTCATCCCCGAACTACCAGTCATGGTTCCAAACCTATTGGATTTGACGTTCTATACGATCGTTAAGGGTTATAACCTTCACCCTATGAACGGTTTACAAGTTCCTAAAAAACTTGTTGGCGACTCTTTTGCTCTATCTTCTTTCCCTTTGGACGCCACCGCACTTTAGTGTATGATCACAGTGGGGCTCAAGTTTGGGGTAATGTTTGAAATATTCCCTACAGTTTTTGGAGACTCCACTGGGGAGGATGTCTATTTTGATTCTTGAAATTTATTTCGGCAATGATTTAGAATGAGTGGATGAGACTCGAAACGTTCTAAGTATTTCATGTGCGTAATTTTGATTAATATTATTGTCATATGCATAAAAAATATATCATTGGAAAGACCATCCGTAATTAGTTAAAACATAGGATTTTTACACGTAGGAATTTTGAGGAATATCTTTCACAATTAGGACCGAAATAACACTACGCGAAACTGGAAAATTTTATCGAGCACAAAAAGCTGCTGAGGCATGTACGAATTAGCTTTAGCGAACAAAGACTAGCGCCAGAATTTTGACTGTAGCGCCATATGACAGCTCTGTCGCCAGGCGCTACAGCTAAAACCGGCGCCAATCTCTGTTTGCTGGCGCCAAATTCTTCCAATACCGAGCAAGAAATATGCGTTCTAATTTCGACCAGTTTTTAGCATTGTTTGCTCGATCCTACTTCCGGATTGAGTTTTTCTCACTTTTCTGAAACCCATATGTGTTCTACATATGGAAATAACCCCTAGGGAATTCATGCTCCATCTACCTGATTGAACGCT